TTTGAATCTGTTTCATGGATTCCATTTCTTTCTTATGCTGGGCATTCATAGCTTCCAGCATGTTTCTGATCTCATCTATTTTCTTATCTGTTTCTGCTCTAGAGCCTCTAATCATGTCTTTCACTCTGTTCACCATCTCTGTATTTATCTAGGAGATTATTTATGCTTTGAATTTTTCTAGAGCCTCATGCATCTGCTTTGTTACTTCCTGTGCTATCAGTTCAAGGTGTCCAGGTGGTTGATTATCAGACTTTTGCACTTCATTTCCCCCAGAATTTCCTTTTTGTGGCATGGAAGCCTGCATTTGTGCCTTGCTTAAATGTCTTCTCATTTTTGTTTTTGGTATTGTCCTTGGTTTAATTACTGGGTTGATATTTCAAAATTGCTTAATGCAGGTATCTTTGTTGCTTGTGTTTGAAATCCTTGTGGAATGATTGATTTTCAGAGATGTTTTCCAGATATGGCTTGTGTTTAGGTTTTGAGGCTCTAATCACTTTGAGGCTATTTTATTTTGCTTATACCAGGAAGGAAAACTGATTAGATCAATCACAACATGTTAGACCAAATGATACAATCAGCAATGCCATAGCATCAAGCTCAGCTTAGAAAATGACAATTTGTGGTAGTTATTAATCTATCACATTTAACTATGTGAAGTATAATCCCCTGTGCCTCTGCAGTGTGAGACCAGGTAGCAGAAGAGCAGGAGGGCGGGGCGGGGGGTGGGGTGGTGGAACTGGGCCTTGCAGGCGCCCACGCAGCTAAGCAGAGCGCCAGATGGGGGCAGGACTCTGAGCCACTCCTGGGACCTCCCCATGGCGTGGGCAGGAACCAGGATGCAGCCGAGGAGCTTCATGCTGCTTGGCTGACCCGCAGAGTATACATGTCTGTATCTACTATGTAATTTTAAAAGATGCAGTTCTTTCCCCTTTTCTTTTTGCTATGCACAGTATATCTCAAAATATACTAACATTTGTATCCTAAAAGTACTATGCCAAAGAACTTTCTGGGATTACATTATATAATTAAATTCGATAATTAATGATCTGTACTTTTGACCCATAGTAAAATTTAAATTCCAGAATCAATTCCTAAAATGTTATCACTGGAGAAAAGGGCCTTCAAAACCTTATCATATTTACTGAATTAGCTGAGGTTTTTTTTAAAGTAAGATTTTTTTCAGTAACAATCAATAAAATAAATGTTTTTTAAAATGAAAAAATGACTCAATTGATTGCAGTGTTCTGAATATCAGAAAGAGTCCTGAAAAAAGTCAATTAAAAACTCATATCAATGCCAAAAGCTGCCCTAAAATACTTCTCTTGGTGCTTATATGAAGACTCACAGCTCATCCTTCACATTTCATCTGCTTCTGTAATCTGTGGATGTTCTGGGCATGTTCCTTATTCTCTGCCTCACTTTCATTTGTGTTTCTGGAAAGACTGTAAAATTCTTAGATGAGGAATATATCCTGCATCTATTACTAATTCTGAGGCAGCATGCACTAGTGTACAATAGGATTATTGCTTGGAGTACTGAGAGTGCAAAAATAAATCTGTGTCTAATATTCATACCTGTATGTAATTGGTATAATTAAATTGAAAT